TATCTTCCGATCTGGGAATAGCAACGTCACCTGATCCAAGTATTCAATAATAAAGTGAACAATTAATGATTGGAATGGTTATCCCAGGTAACCAGAACACSTGCTTCACCACCTGGAGCAACCCCAGCTAGGCACTGCACTCCTGCCAAAGAAGGTGAACAGCAAGGTGATTAATGCTCATTAATTATCCTTGACCAGGGTCAGGAGCACCTGTCACCCACGAAGTCACAGCAGGGTTCATCTGGTGCTGCACAGCGGTTTTCAACACTCCCAGATTCCCGGGACATATAAAAGAAAAGGTCTTCCCCACTTCAGGCCCTGCTACAATGGATTTAGGGCTGGCTTTTCACCAGCACCCTTCCATGCAGTCCATTCCCCCCTCCAGAGCTCCACAGAGTGGGGGCTGAAAAGTGCTCACAGTTCACACGTGTGTGTACACATACACAAGSACACCACCTCCAAAGAACRGTTCATAATAACTGAGTCATTGTTGCCATCCACAGGAGCCTGGAGTACTGACAACGCAGAAGGATTCTGGTCCAAAATGGCAAAGTAGCACTCCACAGACAGTAGAGGAGGAAAATATGAGTCTAGTGTTGTGTTATTCTTGCTTATAGTACTTTCCATTCTACAGAAGCCTGAAATGCTAGGCAAATTTCTCCCTCAAAATTWAAAAAAAATATATAAGAAGTTCATCATCTGCCTGGAGTGCTTTGAACAGGTATAACTTAGTCACCACAATCTACATCTCCTTTTGCAGGGTGGAGTAGGATAATAAATTTCAGCATATAATGATGTTACCATAGCATAGAGGCCTTTMGACAGTACTTCCATCCTGTTCCAGAAGGTCATCTTTTCTGTCTAATCTCAAGCTCCCAAATAGCTGTATGAATACATCACCAACTCTGGAAGGATTGGGTAATTTAAAGATTTAAACCTCCTAATTGTATTTAGGAGGTTCCAAGCTTCCASGTAAGGAGCTGTCTGGTGCATTTACACTGAGTTTTAGTAAACCCTGGAAATGAAGGAAGTTTCAAAAAGCAGTGTATTTTCTATCAGCCTTTGAAGGAGTGATGTCCAAAGTAATTAAAAATTTCCCAACCTGAATTTGAGCTCAGGTGAAATAACAGCAYATCTGGTATAAGACTTAAGTAGCCAACTGAAAGGGAGGTAATACAACAAATTTTGCTTAGGATTATGGTAACAGTGTAAACAGTTTTATATCAACTTCATATCTTTCTGATGATACRAAACTTAGTTATTTTTGTAACACACTACACCAATGTCTGAAACATTAAAATTATTAAAAGCTCAGTGACTTCTCTGTCTGAAATMGTTATTGTAAAGACATTATCAAGTTGGTCTTTCCCTAGTGGGATCCCACAGAAAGACCTCTTATGCACCGTACACTATTTAATATTATTACTAACAATCTGAAAAACATCTGACATCCTTAGCAAAGCTTTGCAGGAGGCACAAAGCATGGGGCAAGAGGGGAAGGAGGGGAAGGATGCTTATGGCTGCATAGCCCTAAGTTAAGTTTAGGCGTAATCACATCATATGTACTTCAATCAAGCCAAATGTAAAGTCTCACATGTAGGAACAAAGAATGTAGGTCACACTGAAAGGATGTAACTCTATCCTGCAAAGCTGCAATTCCGTAAAGACTTCATTAAGATGAATAATCTGCTGAACGTGAGCTCCTTCTGCAGTGCTGTGACCAAAGGGCTAATGCTGTCCTGGGAAAAAAGCAAGAGCTGGGGGTTCTTTTACCACTGTTTTTGACTCTGATGTGACTGTTTTGGAAATAATTTATCCAGACAACATTTCAAGAAGGATGTTTAAAATCTAGAGGGGTTTCAAAGAAGAGTAGTAAAGAATGATTACAGGACTGTCAAACATGTTTTGTCGTAAGACCCAAGGAGCTCAGTCTATTTAGCTTTCTAAAGAGGTTAGGGTGTGCGGTAATCATACCTTGTGAGTGCTGAGACAGGAAGAAAAATCTGGTAATATAAGGATCTTCTGTTCACAGAAGAAGGGATAAGAACTCTTGACAGAAGGTGATGGGAAAAAAAAAAATCATAAATCTGCTTTTGTAGTGAATAAAATTAGCTATTGAAATAGCTTACCAAGATTTACGATGGATTCACCATTACTGGATTTTTTGAAAAACAGTAGCAGTTGAGCTTGGTTTTGGGTTTTTTTCCTTAAAGAGAGAGAGAGAAACTGGCTAGACCACCACTATTAACACTTAACCAGGAATTGACCTGGAGAGTCCTAACTCAGGATGTCAGAATGAGACAGTCCAAGRGGTCTAATTCTGGCCTTAGGCTCTCTTACTCTGCAGAGGCAGCATGTGCATAGTGCTTGTCTGCCTGCACTGTGTGGCACTCAAATTCCAAAGGACAGTCCCCRGCCTGTGGCTGTGCTGCTTTACCCAAACTACTTGATGCAGTCAGAAGGAGCCTAAGTGCAAAATACCACGTGTAGTGTGACGCTCTAAGATACCAGGTCCAAGGTATGGGCAAATGTATCTGGAGAAGGGAGGCCTTAATGCTCTCCAATTTTGACCATAGGTATAAACAAGTGTTAAATATTTGGCTAAGATGAAATATGTTTACACCCAGTAATCTTCGAGAAGGTCAACTATGCTCCAAGCAGGAAACACAGAGCAATATGAAGAAAAAAATTATGGTACATTGCTCTTCAATGTGGCATAGTTTTCAAGTGTGGATAATGGTCTTACAACCAAGTAACAATAGTTATTCTTTGCCCAAAACATAGATGTCATCCATTAATTTCTGTGGGTTTTTTAAAAGAGAAATGTCCCTGCAACTGCATACACTTGTTCTCAGATATGGTTTCAGTTACCACCTATTGCAGAGCTGACAAAGTTCTGCATAACAGACTGAGTACCCCATGGCCGTACGCTTCCCAACAATGCCACAGTAAGTGCTTGTGTAGGTGTCGGCAGGAGCAAAAATCAGGGAAGGTTCTAAACCATTACTAAAACTATGTGTAGGGTGGTTATTTCATGGCATTGTTCACACTCTAGTAAAAGACTGAGCAGTGCTCAGTGCAGTGTTATCATAATAATGTATCTTTCCCAAATCTTAGATCCCAGTCCTTTTCATGGCTCATAACCACTCTGAACCTCTAGAAAAGGGGATAGGGTTCTGTGCTGAAGTAGCAGACCATTCCAACATCATGGCTTGCAAGGTCTGTAAACTGTAAATCCGGGGGCTTATATCTGTAAAGCTTTAACAGCATAAGTCAATGAAACACAGCTTCGTGGAAATACCATTTGAATACCTGCCTGTCTTYTTTTTCTATCTTCAAGGGGTTTTATTTGCAGTGCCCTCAAATACACCTTTCCAGCTAAAGACACATTCATGTGGACAGCTCTTTGTTTTGTTTTTCCTTCCAACCAATGCTTTTGTGTATTTCTGAAACTTAAGACACCTCCTCTGCTACTACAGTACTTATCTGTAACACCATCGCTTTGAGGGATTAAAGCAGGTTACTTGTTACACACTTAGATCAAGAGTTATCTGAGTAGAAAGTCTATCCCGTTAGGGTTGGCGGAATCTGTTTTTGATCTTGAGTTGTTTTGATTTTCTCTGAGAGCAAGTAACATGTTATTTTAACTTCTGAATAAGGTGTGCTACCTGACTGTGTCTCTTCTGTTTGGCAGAAAGGATTAGAAACCTCCACAGAACTTGCACTCTATTAAAGCAGAGTGCTCACCATTGAGAACCAAGGAGCTGAATTGTTTTCAGATTATATGTGTGTGTGTGTCTTTGCCACATCAAAGACTTTGATGGAAGCTGTTCACGCTATTGTCAGGAATGCAGGGATTGGCACAAAGGTGATTAGCAAAATCGCTTTTCTGTAGGCGAAGCACAAAAATTATCAAAGGATTAAAGAGGATAAAATTAAAAGGTTATGCTGAATTTAGAGGCAAATTTTCTGCTTTTAAATTTTCTCCCAAATTATACATACTGATTTGATTTTACCTATAAAATATTTGCCAGAAGAAACCAAAATTGGAAGCTGTTTCATCCTTGAAAATATTCTCCACAGATCCTATCCCAAACCCCATCCACAAGGAGCTTTCAATGAGTTCTAAGGGCACACAGCTAGCAGTCATCCCTACAAGGTTTTCAGCAGCCACAGGTTGGGGATATTTAGWCATGATTATGCTGAAAATTATGATAACAATTCCATAAATCAGTTTGTCATCAGTGATGCTGTTTGTTTGCTTTTCACTACACTCTGCTGACAAAGATACTAAACTGAGGGGATTGTTTTCATTATCCACTTGCTAGGCGCATGCAATGCTTTTGTATTTTGAGCAGCAGCTGAGCTGCTTGAATGGTTTGGGGAAAAAGGCAATAAAAAGGGATTCTCAAATATTTTAGTGTATCAAAATGAACAGAGCCTTCCAGAATCTTTCTTGCTTGGCAAAACTACAGTGCAATTAAAAAAATGTATCACCTTCCATAGCCAGGAGAACTGTTGCATCTTGCTGGTTCAGACTCTGTTTATTGTGCATTTTATTTTGAACAATCCTCTATTATTTGCTAAGTACAAGTCATATACCTATTTCTTGTCTTTGCATTTTAAGCTTTGTTTGTTTTACTAATCTGTTCTTCCAGGGAAGTCAACTGGAATATTTTATTTGTTTTAAACCTCATTTATCAAAGTACTATCTAAAGCATCTGTTCAGAAAATGTTCATTTTAACTGTTTTCCCAACAATGACCTTCTTCCTCCCCCCCAGGCCACATCAAGTTGTCACTCACCAGACAGCTGTGGAATTTGGAATCATTCCTTTTAAACGCTTTACAATTCCAAATGGTAGATTTCTAATGGCACAATATGATTGCCACAAAGATCTTTAAATTTCCCAATCCTCCAGGCTTCAAAGGCTGGACCGTCCTTGATCTCCTGAAGGAATGCTTTTGAATCTTGTTCTTTTATAGGGGCTACCTATGAAGATATTTTAGGGGCTTTTTCCTTTCGTACTTAAAACCTGAGGAACTAAACATTCAAATACCCACTGGCTTTTTTGGGARTGAGATCAAGACATACAAAGTTGTTTCTAGGGATTCTCAGCTCAGTTTTCATTAATTCCACAGGTAGTTCCAAAAGTTTTTGGAGTGTTTGTAAAGGAATATAAATATCTTTGGTGTAGCAATGACTGTGATACTGTTTTATCCTGCATTTTCCTTCCACCTACATGGCTACTTCATGCAATTCCTCACCTGCCGTGAGCAAGTCTCACAGTACCCTGACTCCTCCTGTGCCCATGGGCACCAAGGGGTTCATTGCTCTTGGAGGATTCACTGTTGTCATATCACTTGCAAGGTAATRATTTGTTTAAGAAAAGTGAGCAAACCTAATCCTACAGGTAGTTTTGGGTCTGCCTTGTCCAGGCAACCAAGACAGAGCCTAATTACCTGCAGTAACTACAAATGTGCAAAATTATTAGAGTCGTAGSCTTACTTCTCTCTTTTTCTACAGTCAGAGGAAACATTTCACTKTTAGTCCTTTCTTGCACAGTAGGATTTCTCAATCAGGAAGCTAGCAYGTTTTATTTCTTGCTAGTTAATTCTATTTCTCATTACTGAAACAGAATTMATTTATTTGAAGTTAGGGGACTTACAATGCAGCAACAGGAATCTATCTGGTGCTAGAAAMAGCCTTTTTATTCAGTTCAGCTATTGCCAACTCATAAGGCAGGTTTTACCCTCTCTCCTCTTACAAATGAAACACACTTATATATATAAAAAATCAAGGAAAGTATCCCRCTGTCCACACACAGTAGGTCCTAGTCCTGCAGCAAAGCACCACACTTGTGCATGGTTTCACCTCACAGATTGATCATAGATTTGGGGTCRGTACCCACCTTGGGGAAGGCAATGTCCTTTCTGTGCTCCTACAGTAACTCACATGACATGACCTCTGCTGTGACTGAGCCTCTCAGGTATTGCTATAGGTAGCAATTAATGCTTTGTCACTGCAGTAAGTGTATGTTTAGATACCCGGTATTGGTAGTGCACATGATTTTTAAATAGTCCTCAACCTAACCTCTGGTTTTGTGACGACAATAACAAACTGCAGGAACAACTGATTACTAACCCCATTTATGGGTCAGGGAACAGGCCTTAGATCCTCATTTACACAGTTTCTTATAATCATGTAAGCCCCCACTCTCCAAGACTATTTTTATTTGTTTGTTTAAATCAGTTAAAAAAAAAAATCCCAGATCCCAAAATAGAGAATGTTTTTCTTTGGAACTGGAAGCAAACATACTTGATGGCTTTAACATCTGTTGGACAATGCATGGTTGGGTGGTGGGCACCTCACACAGTTTTGTGACAAACACATGTGCGTACAGCGTGTCAGATTATAAATCCAAGAATAAAGGGTCATTAAAACCTCCCTTCTCTAGCCCACCTGCCATGAAAATAGGCTTTTCACTCTATCTATTTAAACTGAAAATTGAGTATTTGGAAGAAAAATGCCGACATTCCAGGGATTCAAGTCAAAATCTCCCCCTCCAGTAAAGGAGGTCTGTCAATTGAACATAGATTGATCCATTGTCTGTCTCCCATCAGGACTGACAAGCCACCCCATGAACATATGTTTCTATTCTGGCTTGAAACAGAGACCTCACAGTCCCAGGCCATCACAGTAACATTTACATCCGTCATTGGCTTGATCTGAAACTGCATAATTCTCAAATACCTTTCTGGTTTTGCAGCCTGTTAGCACATGGTGCAGTTTTTGGGTGCAGATTCTGGTGAAATTAACTTGCTACCCAGCAGAACACGAGCCCTCAGCTCCACCATGAGCACAAACCTTCCTGCTCTTCTAAGGGAGAAAAGGAGAAAGAGACACTTGCATGCTGGATCAACTCTTACCAGAATTCATTTGACTGCCACAAGTGCTAGATTTTGTCCTATCCTTTCTCTTTTCCTYCAGCTTACAGTGGACTTAGCACCATTAGTATGTCTGAATTATTAGTAGCAATATATTGAAATGCATTTCGAGGACAAAACATCCAGGCTGGGCAAGATGCCYATGCATCAGAGGAGAAAAGGCTTCTGATTAACAGACACAGGTTGTGACACTTGAAACTTTACTAGAATTTACTAGTATGGCAAATCCTGACAAATAACAATGCTTCTCACAAGATTATTCTCCTCACCTGTAACTGTGCTTCTTCATCTGTTTAGCCASTGTGAGTCTTTTAACACACTCCAACTAATAACTGTGTTAGTAAATCCAGGAAGAAAACAGCTTTCTAAAGCACGTAAAGCCCACCGCACTTTTTCTCTTTTGGTTATGGCTTTTTCCATGCACAGACATACAAATGTGCTTTTTTTTTTTTCCCAGAATGAATGTCTGTACAAGGAACCAGTAAAGCCATCTCCTTGCTTATTTTCTGTTGCCCCTCTGAAGTGTAAGGCTCATTTGCTGTGTGGCTGCCCTGGCAGGTGTTTGGATGTGCAGGTGTGTGCACAGGCAAAGTCCTGAGCACAAGCACAAAGATTCAAATACCRGGACCTTTCAGCCTGAACCTGACACTGCCACTTTAAAACCAGAGATGTGGACATCAAAGTTTTCCACTCCCCAGAAGCAAAGGTCTGCTTTACACCCTTCCAAATGATGTCTCTCATCTCTCTGCCTTTCCTACAGCCTTCTCTCTCTCTCTCTCTCTCTCTCTCACACACACACACACACACACACTTTTTCTAATACCATCCCTCCCTCTCCACTTCAAACCATGGGAAAAACCTAGGAAAAGAAGCTTGCCGACTAAGGGACCGTTTCACTGCATTGTGTTTTCCAGCTAGACCTGAACAGACTGAAATCAATTCAGCTCTCTCTTGCTCGCTYTTTCCCTCCCTCTCCCATGTCTTTTTTTGTTTCTCTTAGATCGTGCTCTCTGCCTTAAGAAAGCCAGGTTTAGTTATATCCATCCCCATAGCAATCAAGTGACCAGTGTTTTTTTTATTGCTTGTAAAAACACAGTATCTTTTTCATGGGAGTCAGGTTCTCCTTTGGTTTGAAATGCCCAGTGAGCAGTGGCAACAACCTGCAGAATCTTTGATCAATTCTCACATATCCATTTGAAGTATCTTTAGTAGACCCATCAAAAGAAAGGGACTTGGTAATTAATATTTTAATAGAGTGTACCAGCCTCTCACTGTGTTATTGGCAAGAGGTCTGATTTAACAGGAGCACACAGAAATACCTCTGTCTGATCTGAATTGCTACGTGCTCTAAAAAAATATACATTATTAAAGCTGAAGTCCAGCTGTTGCTATATTAATATCCTCTGTTTTTTATTTGCTCCTACCTTTTGGAAGGTTTCAGTTTTCATTCTGAAATTTTCCAGGCTTGCTCCCAATACTGAGGTTATAACTGCCGGGTAAAAACCAGAGGAGAATGCAAGAAGGTTCACTGGAAACTTGAACAGGTGAGATTCAGCACAGCAGAGCCAGCAGCCCAAAGAAGACAGAAGTGTCACTTAAATTTTGATTGTACAACCTGTTGACAAAGGGACAAAATTAAGATGTGTGTGCAAGCTGGCTCTTACGCTTTCCAATCTTTGGAACAGTTAATTCCACAGTGAGTGTTCCCTTAACATTTTTTTTTTCTTTCCCAGAGTTGTCCAGGGTTTCAGAACCAGATGTGAGAGTAACCTGAACAACAGTTTTCACTGTGTTTAACAGAATTATGCTGCTTTATATTGAAACAGGGTGTCACCTAAAGAAAACACAAAGATTAGCCACCTATCCAGAACTTCCACAATAAAKAAAACCCAGCAACCATGACTAACCACAAAACAGAAATGTCCAGTGAAAGCCAAACAATTTTAAAACAGTTTAAATAAGAAAAATAAAAGTGCTGTGAAGTTGCAGGTTATAACCAACACCCAGTGGACCAGAGCCCCAGTCCTTTAGGACATGAATAACACTCTCCCAGMCAAACTGGACTTGCAAAGTCCAGCCACCAGGTAATGGCATGCCAAGGGCTTCTTATGTAGCCCCACTTGGCCACAAAATGGTGAGGTCTTGGTACGCTTTAATGGCAGCTAGACCAAAACCAGTACTGCAGAAACCCACTCTCCACTTACCAGGTGTTTAGTTCAGTTCAGGTCAACAGCTTGTCCCAGGGCAGGTACATCCTATTTGAGAACTGAATTGTCACCTTCTCTGCTACCTGTGGTTTCCAGCTGGAGGCTGGAACAACCATAAATACAAGCACTAAAATCTGCCTCCCAGACTGACAAAGTCATTTGTCTGTCTCTCACTGCCTCTGAAAATCAAGCAGAACTGTTGCATGCTCAACACCATTGAGAAGATTTTATTTGGGTGCCTAAATACTTTTTTCAGTATCTAGTTTCTGACTCCTAGCACTGCATGTGCTGTGTCTCACCTTCCACACTSTTTTGCTGTGGTACCAATTTTAATACTACAGTTCCAAATTACTTCCCAAACAGTACAACACAGCATGCCCTGTTACTTCCTCTACCACCTCAAATATGCTGGTAGTAACAGTCCTGAAACTTAACCTACCCAAGATTTATACCCAGTAYCTCCTCTAAATATCCTAGTTTTGCCTGCAGAATGTGGCCTAATTATTTTCAGCCAGCTGCACAGCTTTTCAGACCTATATTTCAGGAAAAGAGGTGATTAATTATGACCCTAATTTTATGTGTTACAGACTTTTAGGTAAAGGAATTGAAGAGCTCAGCCATTCGAGCCAGCATCAATTCTATTTGGTTTGCATGTTAGTGCTGTGCATGTGTTTATAAATATTCCCTATATTTAATAAACAGTGTATTGTGTAAATACAGTTTACTTACTATTTTTCTTAAAAATGAACATATGCTGAGTAACAGGTATATGAGTCTAACAGAATCTGTACAAAAGTGCAGAAAGGGGCAAGTAATAAATATAGTATACAATGAGGAACTCCTGGATGCCAATAGGTATTTATCTTGAAGCATAAATAAAGGTGCATAAAGTTATCCTTTCTGCAAGGTACCTCCTAATTAGTGTGCTTAATCATACAAACACAATGGTCTGGGAGCTTTAGCTATGATTTTTGGTTTTGTTTTTCTTTAGAGAAAATGCTGTGATTTWAAAAAAAAATAGAATTTAAACATGGGGCAAAGCTTTGGTGTGTTGTTATTGTGAGTGTAATTTCAAGAACAGTTTCCCAAGAGTTCAGTCTTTTTTCTATGCTATGATTTCTTCTTGTATTTTATATAATACAAGATCAATATCTGAATATGAACTCTTACAAACACTTTTAGCTGCTGCAATCGCCTGGCAGCTTTAGTTGCCCACTTCCAGGTCTGCTGAGCTTTTCTGGCATGCAAATAATTGTAATGATTGTGTGTAAATGCCATCTCTTGGGACTCCTGTGACAGATACTGTAGGAATGCAGCTCTCTGCAAGTAGCAGAGAGGGATCCACTTCCCTGCACATCTTAAAACATTCTTTGGGGGAAAGCTCTTTCTCTCTATCCAGAATCTTAATTATGTCCCTGAAAATCTTGGGAAGAGGGTTGAAAACAAGGTATACATCAAGAATAAAACTTTAGACTAAAGTTAACAAGGTAGTAGGGGAGAATAAAGACATTTTTCAGCTCATGCAAAGAGATGGACAAGAATAGCCTTCCAAGCAATCTGAACTTTGTACAGGAGCATAAAGACAGCAGATGAACATTGTATTAAAAAGGCAGAGAAGTGAACTACAGTGAGAATGGAGAGAGATGGTGTTGAGACATTTTCGGGAGGGGGCAGGGAGATGATTCGTTGGGCCAAGTGACCTTTTCCCATCCAGCAATTTCTTCTGTCCCAGTGCAGAATGACAATGGAAACCCAATGGCAGCGCAATCTGACATCCACATCCATACTGAAAGAGATTCAACTCGACCGTGCTGCACTGCTGCGGCCATGGGATGCTGTGAAACAAGCCAGACCTAAGTTTCCAACTTGCCCTCTTTTCTGTTGTTGTTGTTATTGCTGTTTGTTTCCATTCACCCCCTTTTATTCTCCATTTTTTTCTGTCTTGACTCTGATGGGGGCTCTTTTTGTGCAAAACAAGCCCTTCTGATCTCTTTGAAAGGCCTGCTCTTGTCATTCTTCCAGATCATCATTGTATGACATGTTTTTATATCAGACTGACAAAGGAGCTATTTGATCAGGGGGTATGGTGTGTGATTGTAAGAAATTCAGCTAGCCGGTGGCAACCATTGTTCCCCAAAGCGGCTCCCTGACCCCATTCTATTCAAGGAAAAACTCCCTTGGAGTGGCCTCTATTCATTGAGTAACACCAGTCCGCAGTCTCACTCCAGGAGTATGCTCAATTCAGAGGTGTGTCACCGATATTGCCCATCAACCAGCCTTTAACTCTTTCATCAGCATTAGGTTTCCAACACAACAGCTGTTATCACAGGATGAGCTGGGGAGGGGGGGCACGGTGCATTCCACTGAGCTGGAGCTCTCCTTATCTTGGAGAAATTTAACCTTCCTTTCAAAAGTTGCCTCAGAAAATATCTGCCTGCTGCTTTCTGCAAAGTGCAACCCGAGTAATCTGCCTTCCCATCCCTGCATCCTAAAACGTCACTGTTTTTTACTCAGCTTCTAAAACAAGAATCATTCTCTTGCTCAGGCTAATGAGGCTAATTGCATTGGTATTAATGGTTTGTGGATTTGGCCTAAAATGATTTGTGACCCTCCTGCACCCCAATCATGCAACCTTTCTTCTCCCAGGGAATCTTGTACCTATGTGTGCATCCATGGCATCAGTGCAACTGCTGGCTGTAAAACAGAACACACAGCCAAGAATTACCTGTCTCCCTAGGAACCATTTCGAAAAAACTTAGGGAATCCTCATGAGCTCTGAGAAGGCACTTCACTAAAACTGCCCCTGCTTCCTTCAACTAAACTCTGTGCACTAACATAGAGCCTCCAAAGCCAAGGGAAAGCAGTGCAAAAGCTCATGTTAGCTCGCTCAGGGCCACTGTCCTGTGCTTGCAGGATTACAGAGCGTTTCCATGCAGCCCGAATGGGATCAGACTCACRCACAAGGTGCCAAACAGCTGTGGGTTTGGCAGCACAGTGATCGATGGCTTTGAAAACTGTTGGGAGAGCTGTCCCTATGACAGGATTAAAACTGGCCAGCCCAGTGCAAGTGCAGATACACAGTTACTGACTGCCTTGAAGTAGCCTCTGAAGTAAATTAAACTCAGTTCATCCATCATAACGTGGATYCCCTGGATCTGTTGATGCGAAATGCTTTTCCCATGCAATGAGCATGTCTGCTGGCTGTTGCAGGCCGTCCATCTCTTGACATGATTGCAGTGTCCCAGGAGCAGAACTCCTTGCAGGGCCTCTTGGCTAACCATTCACTTGCTTGCCTGGTTGGAAACACAASCCTGCTTTCAACATCACCGCTAGAACCCGACTCCTTCTGCTGCCTTCCTCCAGCAGCCAGCATCCTGCCCGGGGTTTGGTACCACCTTGATAGCGGCTATCTCCGGGATCGGGATTTGTGAATAAACTCGGGCTCCCTCTGCTGGGACAGAGCACAAAATACGGGGGCGGGGGGATCTGTCCTGTCTGTCTGCAGGACAGGGTGATTTCAATGCTGGGCAGCTGGCGTATTTTCCCCGTGATATTTCAGTGGATGTCACAATGAACTCTGCATTTTTCTCCACGGGGTGATAACAGTGGAATAAACAGCAATGCTGTTTACTGCAACTTCCTTCACTGCATGCTCCAAAACCTCTGGGAAACTTGCATTAAAATTCCAGTGACCTGCAGAGCGATTTGACACCGGCTCTGTTGTACACAGGGGCAGGAGGAGCTCAGGTGCTGGGCCAGTTGTTCCATGTTGTGAGCTGAAATGTGTGCGGCTTTCCACTGTCCATTGAGAAACACGTACTCCCARCGCACAGTGCTGAATTTTACCCCTCTGGGAACAGTCCTTTAAAATGCTTCTGTCACAGACCTGCTGTCTGCCACAAAAGAATTTGCATTCACCTCAGATAACTGCAAAAGTTGCAGCAGACTGTGGAAGTCTACTCCTGCCCTGTCCCAAGAACATGCTCTGCAGCCAGACCTGTCTGTGTGCACAGGAAACTGCTTTTTGGAAGCTATGTTTGCCCTGTCATCTCTGCATCCCAAGCAGAGGACACTCCCCTGCTCCACCTGCACCATGCTAAACTGATCACCGCATGATTTAAAGCATGGGGGTAAGATTCAGGTGCAGCCCTGCTAGCCAAGCTATTCTGAGGATGCAGAAGTGTCCAGGAAAGAGTGAAACCTGCTCGGAAGGAGAAGCAAACCCAGTTCTTGAGTAGAACACACAAAGCTGCAGAGAAGACACTTCAGGGAGACTTTCCCAATGCATCTAGGCTCTTTCCATCTGCCACCTGTGAATTCAGCATGCTACATTATCTCCATGACCTTTAATCCACCCCTGGTTACTGTGCAGAATGTTACTGCATCGACATTTTTTCCAACAAAAACTGCAGTGTAGATCAAATTAAATGCATTTCCTCAGCAAAGCTGCTGCCTTCATCGCTCACGTCTGAGCTTCCTGCCCAGAGATCACTGCTGAGGGTAAGCAGGCTGCTCTGATACTCCAGTTTCAAGGAAGGTCAGACATTTCCTAGCAGCTCAAAGYAGGCCAATAACTCCAGAGACCTGTTGCTTTCCATGAGAGCTCCCAGCACTATACAGTGCACCCAGCTTGCAGCTAAGTCTGTGTTATGGTCCTGCAGCATCCTGATGTTCACCTACTRCCTCAGGTCTTATCTAGGGCTGAGTATCTAGCCTGTCCATGTAGGCTGTTAACAGGGGTATGAATTCACTGATTTGGCAGGGAAAGCTTTGCTTCCCCACAATGTATGCCCCTGAAATAATATGCAAACATCTCCAGAGTTTCTACCTCCAGAAGGACCCTATAGGTTTAAATCAGAGCAAGCAGCAAGACAGGAATGTTTCTGGTGATGAAGATTCTGTACCACGTTCAAAACTCTCCTCTTCCCTGAGCTCTTCATGCCCCACTGGCACCCACCCTACCTTTTTTCTTTACGGCCTTTTTTATCATGACCACTTGCCACACGGTCAGCTTCAAGTAACAGCTCCAAACGTGCTCCAGACAAGAGCAGTGGCAGTATGTATCCATCCCATGCATAAAATCCTGCAAGCTAGCACACTCAGAGCTTTCCTGCACTGACACTGACACTGAGAAGGGAGGCCAGACCCATAAGTACCCATCAGTGCACAGTACCTGTGATGCTGCCCAGACATGGAGCMGGGTCTGATCTCAGTGTCCAACATCTCCCCTGGAAAGTCATTGCAGCTCCTCTGGACCATTCATCAGGAGAGGGTATGGCCATGCCACGGGGTGAACCTGGCTCTGGAGTGGAGCAGACAGCACAGGAGCAGTGAGCAGTGGGTGCTGCCCAGTAAAGTAACCATGAAATAGCTGTCTGTGTCACACTGCCATTTCTCTAAGTGACGGTCCCCTGAAGCAGCCCATTAGGGGTTCATTTGGTCTCAGTAGCAGAGACTCCACATTTGTCATCTCTGCATGCCCTTGARTGACAGGAGGACTAAAAGCCTATGTGCTTCACTAACTGGTTCTGGCTTCCCTCTCCTTCCAACACATATTAATTCCCAGGAAATGTACTTTAGGGAGCATGGGATGGTAGCCCAGCCCCTCCTCTCCTTTCCACTGGCCAGTCTAGCAGAGAGGGTCCTCTGTCTGCTTCTGCTTTTCCATATAGGACTTGCCCACACTCTTGCCTGCTTTGTCCCCTTTGCTGTTCGTCCCTTTGCTCACATCAGCAGTACAGCTTTCCACACCATAGATAGCAAATACCATCAGGACAAAAATCTTGCCTGTGATTTTCTTTCCTGTAGGGAAGTTTCTCATCCTTTATTGRTGCTGAAGGCGAGGTGGCTCCCCCAGAGAGTGCCAGACTGGATTTGGGAAGCCCTAGCTGGTGACTGGAGTGTCTGGGACCATAGCRGCCTGGAGGCTGTCACATTCACCAGCTGCAAGGTGGCTCTTGGGGGTGCCACCTCCACATCACACTGCACCACCCCGGAGTTCCGCCTCATTCTGGGAATGCCACAACTCTTACAAAGAGTTTGGAGGGGAGCACTGGTGAAGGGCAGGCAGCCGCTGTGGTGGGGACAGTCGTCAAGCGCAAGTCATCCCCCTGCACCGGTGTCAAGTGCACAGCAAACCCACGGCTCTGCAGGGGAAGGTGGTGAAACTCTCAGCTCCTTGCAGTGATCGCTCTGAGAGGGAGTGAAGTGCAGACACTTCTTCAGGCTCTGCAWTGGARGCTGCAAGGGCTCAGTACATGTCAGCAACCATAGATCTCCGCTCTTGATCCCAGTCCTTCAGGGGCTGGGGATGCCTCTTTACCAGCCAGCAGCAATTAGTAAGGAAAAGCTTTTCTTATAATTAACCAGCYTGTGATAGTGGTGGGATTTGGGTCAGAGCAGCAGGTGCTGCACATACTCCCACAAGCCACAGCCATAGCCTTGGGAATGTGCAGTTTCCACAGCAYTTCCTGCCCTATTGTGCCCCTCTACAACTCGGTCACTCCTTGAAAGTGCCGTGGGACAGCATCTGGGGTCAGCTCCTGAAGCACAGATTCTGAAAAACCTTTGGGTATATGAGAACTTGTGCACTCACTGCTGTCGCTGTGCCGACTTAGTGTACTGGAATTGCAGACATGGGCATGGAGGATAATTAGGTCAAACCACCTTCTGCTCACATGTGAATTTATMCACAGTGGTTCTAGTGAAATTGGAGGAAGGACTGTGGCTTTACCCATCACAACTGAGAGCAAAAATAGATCAGATGTCAATATTTAGATGACAGGAGATGGAATCCTCCTGGGAAAGCACAAGATCCGGTATTTCACATTTCATTATAAAATAAAGGCTGCCTTAGCCTCAGAGATGTGCTGTTGCAGCTGGAAATAAGCATCAGGACACTGTAACTGCCTTACTTGCATCTCCTGTGACGACCATCCACATCTCTCTTCTTCAAAACAGACTGGTGTTATAATGGTCCCATCCAAATGAGGGTTACAGCTCCATGGTTGGTTTCAATTGCTCTGCAMGACCCTGCAAGAACCTCTTGGAAAACACCAGCTCTAAGCAGAGAGACATCACCCCAGTGGGTGGTCRCTGCATCTTTTCTCCTCCCATGGTCCTGGACA